CTAGAGTAGTCAGGATATCCAAGTATTGGAGGTGAGGAAAGTAGCTCCTTCAAATGCTGGAAAGCTGATTCTTGCTCTGGACCCCATGACCAAGACTGACTCTGTGACGTCTTCTTCTTGACTTGCTTTGGAGATGGCATGAGAGAAGACAAAGGTCTGGCAATCCTTGCAAAATCCTTTACAAACTTGCGATAATATCCAGCGAAGCCTAGAAACTGACGAACTTGTTCTGGAGATGTTGGTCGTGGCCAATCGGTGATGCGCTGGACTTTATCTGGATCTGCTTCGATACCTTTGGATGACACTACATGGCCGAGGAACTTGATACTTTCCTTGAAAAAGGAACACTTGTCTGGAGTTAACTTTAATCCATTCTCTCTGATTCTTTTGAATACTTGAGCAATACGGTCCAAGTGCTCATCATAGGTCTCTGAGAACGCAATGATGTCATCAAGATAGATTAGACAAATTTTCAGATGTAGACCTTCAAAGCATTCATTCATCAACCTCTGATATGTAGCGGGACTGTTGCAAAGACCAAAAGGCATCCTGTTATACTCGTAAAATCCGAGTGGTCCCACTGTGAAGGCAGTTCTCTCTTTATGTTCTTCGGCTAGTTCAACTTGATGGTATCCAGTCTTCATGTCCAAAGTCGTGAAGAATTTAGAGCCGGCCAGAGCGTCAAACATCTCATCAACTCGTGGGAGTGAATAACTGTCCTTGATAGTTTGGTTATTCAGCTCGCGAAAATCTACACACATCCTCAGTTTACCATTTCGTTTGCGAACAAGTACCACATTAGATGACCAAGGGGAGTAAGACTTCCGAATAATTCCACAAAGTAAAAGTTGTTCCAAGTGGTCCCTCACTTCCTGGTACATGGGTGGAGGAATGCGTCGATGTCGTTGCTTGAAGGGACGTTCCTCAGTGAGTTCAATCCGGTGAAGTACCTTGTCCGTGTGTCCAACATCAGTATCTCCAGTTGAGAAGATGTCTATGTGGTCTCGGATTACACCTTTTCCTTGAGCTAACTGTTCTGGTGTTACAGCTGCTTCCTTGAAATCCATCTTTTCAATCAGGGACTCTGCACTTGAGGTAGATGGCTGAGGCATATCTTCAATAGTAACAGGCTGAATCTCACAAAGTATAGCGTGAGGTGATATAGAAACAGTTCTGGTTGTAACATTGGAGATGTACACATCAACTCCCATCTTCTGTGCACGAGGGTATGATACTAAACTTGGAGCTATCTCGATGTCGTCTGGTATAGCTGATGATGGTGTTGCATAGAGAACTGCACATGGTGAGTGATGGTTGAGAGGTTTGTGAAGAAATCCACGAATTTTAACTTGACTGTTAGGCTGAACAATGATCCTCTTGAGCTCGGCACATTTCACAACAGCAAGCTTATTCTGTTGTTTTACTAACTCTTTTTCCCGGATAACAAGACATCTAAAGGCTAAATACCATGGGGTAAAGAGGTTAGCGGTCTGCAAGAATCTCTCTCCGTGTAGTTCTTTACACTTAAGCAACAGTGAATTCAAGATGTTGGTCCCAATTAGAACAGGAACAGACTCATTATAGTTGCTATCGGGTACAACTAAAAACAACCCATTCTGCTCGTTTGGAGACATGCCAGTTACAAAAAGTGGTGCTTCGACATAGCCTAAATAAGGTAAGGACTGACCGTCCACACATTCAACATTAAGGATATGTTGTAGTGGGATTACTGGGAGGTGAGATAAGTGTTCTTGGTGAAAGGATTCGCTCAAGGTTGAGACTGTGGCTCCCGTATCCAACAAAGCTCTAGTTTTCACCCCATGAACGGCAACATCAACTTCTGAAGTACTTCCCACAAGGTCAGTCATGTCTTTACTAGCCATGTGTTTACCATAGGGACTTTGTGCATTAAAATCCATGGCTCGTCCCAAAACATGGATTTCCTTCTGTTTAAAGAATTCCATCGGTGGTCTGTCCGTACATTACATTGATAGCTGAGGTGTCCAACTTGACCACAACGATAGCAGATAGGAGTGGGTTGACCATAGGTATCAGTTGTCCATCCTGGTTTCATCCTGGGTGTCTGGGTAACTGGTGGCCTCTGATAACTGTGTGCCTGAATTGAGGTAGTTGGTTGTAACTGTGCAGAGGGCCCCTGAACATAGTTACTGCTGTCCTGAAATGTGGGAGAAGGAAACCGAGTGGAAGGTCCTCGAAACTGCCTCGGGGGTCCCTGAGGGGGTGCATACCCTCTACCTGAAAGGTGTCCTGGTGGTGGTCTTGATGGAAAAGAAAGTGGACCCTGTGATGGTGAATCGCTCTTTTTCTTCAGTTCTGCCACTTCACCTGTGAGTTTCTTAATCATTCCCTTGATTTCTTCGAGTTCCTTGTTTTCAGCTTTCACAGCAGCCATTGCGGGAGTAGATTTCTTTTGTGATGACCCAGACCGACTATTAACCTCTTGCTCTGTTCTTCGAAGAGAAACAAGTAGTTCACTGAAGGTGTGGCTGTTGTCGAACTTGTGGCCGCATATGTCCTTCAGTCTTGGAACGAGTCCTGTCCACAGCATCGATCTCAGCATCTGATCTGTCTTGCCTACTTGTACTTCTCCAGCATCCACGGCCTGTCCAAGGAGATCTTCAAGACGTAGTGCCCAAGAAGCAACTGACTCTGAATCCAACTGTTTAGCTGAGTAGAACTTAGCTAGGAGGGTCTCAGCTGTGTTAACATCCCCAAAGACACTATCCATCTTTGCCAAGATAGAATTAACATCAACATGAGCTCCTAATCTAAGTAATGCCCTAGCAGCTGGACCTTTCAGAGATCGTCGGATGGCCTGCCTCACCGTATCTTCTGAGTGGAGCTTGTCTTGAAAGAGACACCTGACCTCATACCGCCAGAGGTCATAGCTTGAATCTTTGCTGGCCCAACCAGAAAAGAAAGGTAAACGTGGAACATCTGCCACTTTTACCACAGTGCTGTGTTTTAGCGGAACCTCAGCATTCTCAGTGCTATCTGACCCTCCAGGTTCTGCTTTTACTTCTGGGCTAGCCTTGCCAATACATGCCTGCATCCAAGCCAAGAAATCCTCTGGGGTATCTGACTTTGGTTGCAGCTTAAGTGCATTTAAGGTTTTAACCAGCTGATCTATGTCTTCTTGAGACATGCCACCTTCAGCCATGGCTGAAAAAATGTATTTCCAATCACCTTGGTGTTGTGAACAATACAGAAAAGAAAATGTGATGACACTATCACTTACATAGCAATTCAGTGAATGGGTGCAATACTGAATCACTACATTATGAAAAAATGACAAGTAATTCAGCAGCTGAGTGCAATACAGAATTACAAACACACTAACCGTGTGTAAAAGGCATATGAGGAAGAAGCAAAGGGGAAATGTAATCTGCTGATTACATGATTACATTAGGGACACAATTACATATTTAACTAATTAATGTAGCTAAGACATGAGGGGTACTGGGGAAGTAAGACTAGGCCGTATTGGCGTTGTGAAAAAGCAAACTTACATATTTTATGCCGTATACCACAGCAGTATTCTGAGAAGTAGGGGGCTGATAACTATTGTGGAAGGTAATTATACACTAAACTAAAAGGTTAGATTAACTGTACTCAATTGATGTTTAGTAAAGTGCAAATGCAGTGGGCATGCAAAAGGGATAGACAGAGATAGAATATTTAACGAGACTTTACCATATAGACAAATGACACCAACTTACCAACTAGCAGAACAGCTGAAGACAGCTGCCAAGGAAAAACAATCTCAAGAGAACAACACCTTCACATCATGACTCCTCTAACTACCAACTTTATTTATAACTAATTACTACACAAGCAACCAAGAGTCAACGATGTTTAATCTAGTAGTAAGTAATAAATACTAAGCTAATGATATATAACCTAACGCTAAGTTAAGAATTTATACTGAATTTAACCTAAATGTAGAGATTTTTTAAGTTAGATATTATGTTAAAGTTTAGATATTTAAAGTTTAAATGGCTTGAGACTTAGTTATGAATATCAATTCAAACACATGCACACTGAAAAGCAAGTCACGGGTACCCGGTTCTAGTCAAACAGATATGGCATCAATAAGTGAATACCAATCAACACGGCATGGCAAACAACAGGTAAGTATGGCAGAACAATAATGCGAAAGCAATCAAACGGTAGGTATAGCACTCAGCATAAGCAAATACATCTTTGACATAGCATACACATGAATGGCAAACAATAGCTGAAGTGTAACGATATGCACAAGTGAGTGAGTGAGTTGGGTTTAACGCCGCTTTAAACAGTATTCCAGTTATATCACCGCGTGTCAGCTTAATGTGGGAGAAAAGACTGAAGTGATGCAGGTCTCAGACGTTTACCACTTCGGTGAAACCCACGAGTACAGGTATGGTGCTAACAAACCTAGAAACATTATTGGAGCGAATCGGGATTTGAACCCACAATCATAGGTTTCTGGCGTGGCAAAGGGACGCAACTCCGCACAGCGAATCGCGGCGCCTTATACAACTGGTATGCACAAGTGAAAGTTACGGGTAGATCTAGTTATAGAAGTAGTTAATATTCAAAGCATATCAAATAAAATAGCAATGATGTTCACAAGAACTGTCACTGAATCTCATAGTCTATGAATACACACATTCACTGAGGTGACGTAGAATCTGGTTTCCAGTTGAATGTCTCTCGTCATTGCACAAAGCAGGGTGACTGCGCACATGAAAACATATCACCAAGACGACGCAATGCAATTATTTAGATCTAAAAAATAGTCAATGTAGTCGTTGATATCACAACACAGTCACTGTAAAGATATCGTCACACGTAGAATGGTCAAACAACACAGTTATAGTCACCGATGATATCTGGAAGTCACAGACAACCAATGACGACTGATGATGAACGCTAGGTTCGATTTCCCTCGATGTTCAGGATGTACTCCACCATGCTGTCAGTCCTCACTTGGGGCTCCAAAATGTAGTAGCGGGCAAGGCTCCGGTTAGTGCAGTAAACACAGAACAGGCTACTGGGGTGTGAGTTGACAGCTGATTTTATTTGCGCACACGCTAGTTGTTTCTGAACTCTGTACTCTAAAAATACAATGAAAATATCTAATAAATGAAATAAAACATATCATAGTATCAACACACCAATGTATAACCTGCTCATCCAGTTTAATATGCTATGCATACTATAAACATTTACACGTGATATTTTACATTAATGTATCAAACATGCTGAGCAGTAATTACACTTACCCTTGTGGTTTTAAGCCAAATTACATATAGAAATACTTAAGACGGTTACACAAATACCGCCTCTACAGATTGCCATGATATAAACATAATATAAACACAATATACACAAAATGTACACATAACTTACCACTGTGTGGCAATGAGCTGGCAACTATGTCAGCGTTGGCAGATCACAGGCATCAATTGCCATATTCTAGAACAAATTTAAACAATAAGGCCGCATAAGAAAAAGGAAATGGCCAATAAAATTAAGAACATGTAAAATGACCTTTTCATATGTATCCATTCAATCATAATCTACACACATACATACTGCATTCACACATGTAGTTAGATGGTATTTCAGTAGTGATTAATAGTTAAATTAGATTATAGATTTAGTTTAGATTTAACTGAAGTGTTTAACAAATTAAGAAGGAAAGTATGGAATATCTGAAGATATCGAGATAACATGTATACTTATGATGAAGTACTAGTTTATGTTTTTAAACTATTTTCAGTTTGACATATATAGATATATTATAAAATATATATAATTACCAATCAATGCATTACCTTAATGCATCTAATTCATAAAACTAAATACACAGACATATCTACAAGATACATAAATATGAACCAAACACAAACTAACCTTATAGAGATCCTGAACACAACAAATATATCGTCCACTGATTTGAAATCCAGTCCAAAGAACCACTGATATCCTTCAAGTGTAAGTGACCAACTAATTTAGCAAAGTCAGCAAAAAACAGGAGAAACCTTTTACTTACATAACACAGAAGCTGGGAAGGAAAACAAAGCAAGACGCTTGTGCTGTTGGTGACTGTATAGGTGAAAGTGGCTATTGTTATGTTAGTAGTTATGTAAGTACTGGAGCTAGTCTAATTGTTGTTGTTTTCATACTGCTCAAGTAATCTAGCTTGAGACAGAAACAGGCTAAAACAGAAACGAGACAATTAAAAGACTTTACTAAAATATTTACAAAATAGCAATAAAATCAACTCGGCCACATATATACTCATACCATGAGAAAACATCACCAAATCCCAAACTGCCTAACCTGTATTAGATTTTCAAATGACTGCACTGATAATCTGGTCAAAGTCTCTTTTATACCCCAATCAATCATTCAGTATATGCAACAAAACGTATCACTCCAACTCAAAGCATCTTACATGATCAACACCCGTTCAGGCACAAAAGCGTATATAATGTCGTATGCACTCAAAATCAAATTTGAAAAAATATGCAGCGTAATCTTGATACACGTACCTTGAAAGTTGTTATTTTGGGAAAAGAATTAATTTTAGTGTTCGTTTGTTTTAAGTTAAGTAGGCACGATGATGATACGACAGTATACTTTTCTAACATGTGACTGTAAGTATTATGGAACCAACGGTATGGCCATTTTGAACACCGTAAGTAAGAGCTTAGTTACAGCATGTTCATACTAGAAACATTATTATATCAATATATACTCAACAACAAAAGTTCCTGTGACACTAATATTTTAGTGTATTAGTAAAGTAAAGTTTGGTTTTCAATATTGTAGTACATGTATGGAATCAAGTCACAAAAACGCAACTGCTACAGAAAAGCATGCATTCCATGCAAAAGTTGACTTTTATGCAAGCCTCATGCATTTCACTACCAAAGAAAAAACGTGCGTTAACGGGATTCCATATGCATTGTTTAGCATCGTGTTGACAACCACTCAGAAAAACAACAAAATTACGCAATTATTCATCATTACAAAATGCCACGCCTGTCCGAAAATGAGCGCCTGCGAGCCATTGGCATGCTTGAAGCAGGATCGAGTCAACGTGATGTTGCAAGACAATTTAACGTCCACAGAAAAACCATTTGGTGTTTATGGCAACGTTGGCAACAGACGAATGCAGTCAGAGACCATACCCGGAGTGGTAGCCACTCGTAACCAATAATCGACAAGACAACTGGATTTGACCAACACACCTAAGAAATCGATTCCAGCCAGCAACAGTGACTGCAAGAAGCATCCCTGGCCTTCGACGAATATCTTCACGAACTGTACGTCGTCGCCTCAGATGTGCAGGGATTGTGCAGAAGACCCATCAGACGTCCCATTTTCACAGGAAACAACCGTCAAGCAAGTCTACAGTGGTGCAGACAGCGTCTACACTGGACGGCCATGCAATGGGGACAAGTTCTATTGACTGACGAGTCTGGTTTTCATCTCAGCCACAGCGATGGACGGATTCGAGTGTACCGACGTCGAGGTGAAGGTTACGTCAATCATTGTGTCCCTGAAGAAAATCGGTTCGGGGGCGGCAGCGTTGTGGTATGGGATGGGATTACAGCAAGACAGAGGACCCGTTTGATAGTGGTAGAGGGAAATCTCAATGGACATTGCTACCGCGACGAGATCATCGGCCCTGTTGTTCTACCGTTTTTGTGTCGTCATGACCCAGGCATTACCTTTCAACATGACAACGACCGGCCTCATATTGCTCGACTTGTTTAGGATTCTCTTCAACAAAACAACGAGAATGTCATCCCCTGGCCGGGTCGCTCCCCTAAACTTTCACCAATCGAGCACATGTGCGATGAGATGGATCGACGTCAGCCACGTGTTCCACAGACACTTCGAAACATGCTCCAGCAGATGTGGACAGATATCCCATAGGATTTTGTGCGACGCCTGGTCCATTCCATGAGACGAAGATGTGTTGCTTGCATCGCAACCAGAGGTGGACACACACGCTATTGATTTGTAAATTGACAATTTTGGCATGTTCATATATTTTTTTTTTATGAAATCACGCATTTTCTGAAGTCAGTATGGCAAATTAAACCATTTGAACACTTAAAGGAGTCTTTCACCTGTTGCAAACCGAAATGGTTTCAGATTTGGTAACAAACATAACTTCGCATTAAATCGTATTCAATGTCACTGGAACTTTTGTTGTTCAGTGTGTATTTGGCCCTGTCTTGGCGTAAGTTAGAAGGTACGTTTGTATTTAAATCATTACTAACAAATCGTACCCAAAAGAATACACCGTTTTAACTGAGTTTCCTGGGAACTATTCTTGAGAGTAGAGATCCTTTGGAAATGGGAGAAAATGAGTAGACGGGTTATAATAATTGCAATGGTGTTCCTCACACATCAAAACCATAACACCGCTAAAGAAGATGGCGTATTGCTCAAGCCATGAGTTTGGGAAAACATCACCAAATCCAAAACTGTCTAGCCTGTGCTAGATTTCTCAAATGACTGCTCTGATAATAAGGTCAAAGTCCCTTTTAACCCAACTCAATCACGCAGCACATACAACAAAGCATTTCACTCTTACATAACATTCACACATTCAGACACAACAGCTTACATATAGTCGGAACCCACTCTTATGTCTACAGTCAAATCAAATCCAAAGATTATGTAGCATGATCTTGATACGTGTACATTGAAAGTTGATATTATTGGAAAAGAATTCATTTTAGTGTTCGTTTGTTTTAAGTAGGCGCAAATCGTCAGTCCAGACTTGGGATGGCAGTTTTCCGCCTCTGTTACACCCATTGTGTTACAGAATAGGGGAATGCATCGTGGCTGACGAATTCAAAAGGCTTGTCATCATGATATCTCTTGTGTCCTAGTCTTTAATGAATATAACAATCTTACGTTAACCAGAACCATTGTGTTGTTATCCTGCTACAGGAGACAGGTCCTTCTTAAGTTGGGTAAGGATGTTATTATACTGAAAAGGAATTTACTTGAAGTTCCTTATTCATATTACTGGAGATATGATGTGATTCATGGGGAGTGCACCGCTGTTTTAAGCATTTGTTGTGGAAAAGTGACAGTAACATGCCCTTTGACTTGATTTACTATATTTCATGTGCTATATTTGATCAGCTGCCATCTGATTTGCTGAATCACATTGAATGTAGCTTAATATGTTTAGGATGGGAGGTGCGTTTAATGTCCAAGTCCAAGTGTTGGCATCTTTTGGCATTTTTGGAAACGGTGTCGATGTGTCTCCTTTAAGTTTTGTATGTACTGCAGTAACAAGCTGGTCGATAATCATGAATGAGATTAAGAAATGACAGTTGAATTTTCTAGCATGCACCTGTGGGTTTTATGGAACCAACTGTGGCCAACGTTGTGCTGCTCGTCACTACAAGATCAGCTCCAGCTGTGATGTACAAGGACACTGTGTTGGTGGTTGTGAGGCTGGGTATCATGGACAAGACTGTACTCAAGGTAATAGTAAAACATTATTAAACTATTTACGATATAAGATTTCAAATAGTGTCATACGACTCTTGCTTAAAGGTTGTTTTTTTACTAGGGTTACAGCAATCAAGGCACCAGGAAAGATTTCAAAAGGTGGTGGACTCTGGAGGACATTTCAAAGGTTAAAGCATCAGTGTAAAAAATGATGTCCATGACTTGTCCTTGCATGTGTTCGTGATGAGTGGGACCGGATAGGCTCACCTATTCGCGAACACCTGCTATCATCACAATGTGATAGTGATTCCTAATTACATGCTCATGATATGGTCTGAATCGTACAATCGTCTCTGCTTTAAGTAGACATTTCTTATGATAATGGAAATCTTTTTGATTTTGATTTTGACATATTTCAAATCATGTATAGCGAGTATTGCTCTGTTGTTTAATATTACCAGCGGATACATTGCATTAATACCGACACTGTGTCTCAAATTATCAATTCATTGTCATCAACATTTATTATTGCCAAGACGTTGTTTATGCGTACTACTTACCCGTGTTGAAAGGGTTTATAATTATGACGGTATGGCCGTATTGAACATTGCGACTGTGTCGCCAAAAGGATCACTTAAAGAACATTTAACGAGTGAGTGAGTATGGTTTTACGCCGCTTTCGCAATATTCCAGTAATATCACGGCGGGGGACACCAGAAATTGGTTTTAAACATTGCACCCATGTGGGGAGTCGAACCTGGGCCTTCTACGTGACGAACGAACGCCTTAACCACTAGACTACCCTACCGTCCCCACTTAACGACGGCTGTGAACTAAACAAAGTAAAACCTTCAACAAGAGGGACAACACAATGACACATGCGAGATCCTGCCGAACTGGTTCTATTGTATTAAATTAAGTGCACAACACTTAAAAATAATCTCCCCAAAAAGAAGTGCATAAGCGGTATAAAAGAGGCAATTTCAATTATTTTTTGTCTTCTGAAATATGTATTTCTTATGGATATGGGAAGGTTTTGTCGTTTCTATTTATTAGATTGTATCTTTTGTACCAACGTAAATTCGCCATTATAATTTTGGAAAGGATTCTGCAACTATATCTTGAGTATGTGTTTATGAATCACTTTCAAATAGTGAAGACACCAGGTGTTCGCGAAAAGGTGAGCGTATGCTGCCCCACCAGTGACAGCCGTCACAAACATGAACAAGCGAGTCAGTTGTTCGAATGAAAAAATACGGGACAACATGGTTAAAATGGGGAATTGCATCAGACATTATTTTCGTAACTTATTCGTCAACCATAACAACTTTTAAAACCATAAAACGTTTGGAAAGCTTCACTTAGGAAGTGAATATTGTATCCTTGACCAAACTTCGTTTGATCGTAATTGATCGTATTTCCACTTGCTTCAAATACATTCTGTGAATACAGCGAAATGCCTTCCTGGATTGTATTAAAGACTATTGTTAATCGTTGAGCAGGAGATTAGGTGGCACATTTGCATGTAAGGAAAAGCATATCCTGCCCTACCGGTAGCAACCGTCACTCACACAAGTTACATAAAGATGTATGTGAATCGACACAGCACCGCAGTACTCCTGCCTTGTGACGGTGGTATGTGAACAAACCAGACCATCAAGGTATGGACCACACATACACGACAGCACATTTGAGGTTTCTATTGAAACTAAAAACGACATGTTAAGTTTGAATTACGTCTAAGACGAGATCCTGCTGCAAATAAGTAAAGACAAAGTAATGAGTTCAATATGCCCATTTCATTTTAGACTGTCCAGCTGGCTTTTATGGAAGCAACTGCTTTCTGAGATGCACTGATAGACATTGTCAAAGTTCATCCTGTCTTGGTGATGGAGCATGCGGAATTCAATGTGATGCGGGATGGACACTGCACGACTGCACACAAGGTAAGATTAAATGTATTTCGTTACACCAAAGTACCATACATATGCCAAAAACGTAGGGGTCTGTGGGGTCATCACGACATATCTTCTGATCCAAATGACAATATCTGATGAGGACTTTGTAATGGGTTATCATGGTTGGTGTGATGAGATGGTGCCTTGGGTCGTTAAAAAGGTCGGGGTCCAATTCAAAATTGCATTTTGTAGCCAACGTCACTGATATCGTCATTAATAGCCTGTCCAATATCTGAGTGGCAGTTTGCAGGCGATTTCTTAATGCCATCGTTCTGACTCATCTGTCCTTGGCTGGACTGGTTGTCCTTGAGCGTCCAGAGCGGCGGCGATCATCGTCGTTTTGTGTTTGTTGGTCCCGGGCCCACACTCTGCTGATGACAGATTGAAAAACATTCAGCGTTTGGGCAACACTGTTTTGACTTAATGAAGTGTCTTTGAGCATTTGGTCCCAAGAAAACAATATGCGTCTGCTCACAAACGTGTGACAAATCTGTGGTTAAATCTGGCATACAACACCATGCACGTGCTTTCCAAGGCCAGGTACAATCACGTGCTTGATGACTGATACAAATATCGATGGCACTTATGTCTTCTCCATGTGTTAACTCCTGTTGGTATAATTGCTCGTGTACATAGTCCACATCCAGTTGTGTAATATGTTTTTCTTCTTTCATTTGTGAAAAATCATTTTTTAGTTCAACAGATCTGTCAGTTACTTTCTTTATGTCTCCTTGCATGTGTTTAAGTTCATCTTTCAATTGAGTGATGTCCTGTTTATTTAGTTTCTCAATGTTGTCAGCCATGATGTTTTATCAAGATGTTGTTGACTGATTGGTCCAGGGTTCAGTTCAACATCGACCAAACATAGTAACAGTAAATTTACTGACACAGATAGTTGAAACTGTTCAACAGACACGAGGAAATCACTGGACGCGTTGCCACTGCAGTCCGTGCATAGCCTATACTGGAACACAGAACTTGCTGTGGCTATGTTATTTCGTCCACAAAGGCCATCAGTGAATGTACAAAGAGAATCCGAAAACACGAAGTTATGAATAGCACCGATAATGCAGGCTACAATTAGTAAGCTTACCATTCTGAAGTTCAGATCTGTGCAAAATGACCAGTGTGAGCGTATCAGGTAGCCATCTTACCAATCTGCCTTGTCCCAGGTGGGGTGGTGTGACTTCCAGTACGTTTTCTTCATGTTTCATGGCGTCTTATTGGCATACTTGCAAACACTTGCACACACATAAAACTGTCCGCTTACTTTTTTTGTGAAAACTTAGAAAATTACTAACTTCTTGTCAGCCAAAGTAAACACGACACACTTTGATGACCTTGCCACGTAAATCACTTTAAAATTTTCACTGAAAGACATTGGTGTATTTCCCTGTAATTTCACCTAAAAGTCAATATCCACTACGTTTTGGCAAAGTTATATAATCCAACAAGAAATACGTCCCATAACTGTCACAAGATGAGGATGCAAAATTAACAATCACTAAAATTACTGTACATGGTGAGCATTGTAAGGTGGCACACGTCACTCAAGGCCCTTTGAAACGATATTGGCAAGATTTTCCCTCACAATGTTCGATTCTTGAATTCGTTAAGTGTTGGATTGTGTCACAATTTTTTTTCAGAAAATGTCCGAGTTTGAAAGTGTACGGGAACATTAGTCCTCATGTGTTGCAATTAATAACATTTACCTTGCAATATTCCAAACAGAGTGTCCCAATGGCACATATGGCATCAAATGTAACTCCGCCTGTGGCCACTGTGCTGATACCAACACATGTCATCACGTCACTGGAGCCTGTCCAGGTGGATGTCAGGCAGGGTGGCAACTGGACCTGTGTCACACAGGTGAGTGTGAACAATCTGAAGTAAACTAATTTTTCTTATTTCTAATGTAAGATACATTAAGACGAAAACATATGAAGTATCTTGTTCTTTTTTTAATGTCTTCCGAAAACTAGGTAGACACAATGTTATGGATAACAACTTCTTCAATACTGTAAAAAGTGACGTTTCGGTATAGATCCATATACCGTTGTCAAGCAAGACTGACAATAGAAAGAGAGACATATGGATGGAGCTTTTTTCACGAGTGGCGTAGAAACATGATATTCATGCCTCGTGGTTAAAGCCTTCACTCGTCATGTCCTTACCCAGTTGAGTAAATAACAGTGTAATACATGTAAGGGACGCCATGCCATACTTCAGATCTATATATATATGTATATGGATGGAAGAGATGGATGGAAGTGGAGCTATTTTCACGAGTGGCGTAGAAACATGACACATGGGATATCCTTTTCTCCATCACAAATGTAAAACCTTGAAACGTAAACTATCCGTACCAAACAAGGAGGGAAGTTCCACCAACCTTTGTAATTGAAACTTTAAATGTAGTTACGAGTTTGTAAAATATCTCACAAATATAAACAAAAGTAATAAAAAGTATTTAGGTCACACATTTGGATATGCTAGTACACAAAATCAACTTCAACAAAAATATTCATGAAACCTGCGAGACAGCTGTTGGAATACATGCTGGTCAAATAACAAAAATGGCGTAACAAACAGTCTCTATTGACGACTTAAATGAGAAATGTACAGTTTATAACAAAACATTTTCAAGAGAATAAGCCATATTCACTCCACAAATGACCACCTGTCATTATTGTATCAATGTGGAACTAACGTGAAAAGGAAGTCAACAGTTTGTATTCGGGCCAGATACTTACGATAAAGGGAGACAATTTGCGAGGGGGAAGCTCTTGTATGACAACAGTTCAACGTGTTATGTTCACTGCAGTGAAATATCGGATGTTACGTTCACTGCAATGAAAATATCACTTTTCACAACTTCTCAAATTTAGTACACTCATTCACCTGATGAAGGAGTAAGTATAGACTCCGAAACGTTGTAATCCTCATAATAAAGATGTTGACATCCAAAAAATCTCTTCCTTGTGAGTATCACTTAAGGCGCATGTACATCTTCAAAATGCAACGACACGTTCCAAGTAAACGTTATTATTTTCAAACAGAAGTGCCCTCCACTTAGCACATGACCGATAAATATGCTTTGAGAGCTACAAGCATTAGCTGGGCCTGATACCTTCAAAGTTGTTTTGTGATAGCATTTTACACTCATGTGCACAGGGTATGTTGATTGTGATATATTCATCTACATTACCAAATCTATTCTACCCCGGAACTTCACGGGTCTGTGGATTGTCTTCCCTGCACAATAAATTATTGATAGCAATGTACATTACTATGACAAAACTGAAGACCATACTCGACATCCCACATCACACCATCATAAAAGCACCGTCAATAACAGATACTAGTCATTTGGTGAGCATTGTAACGGTAAGGCCGATGGAACCAGTTGTAAAGGGTGTCAGGAGGGAGGGACATTGGGCAACTGTAATCCATTTATAATGTTATTTTGAATTTAACGGCCCATATAATGTATTCAGTTTCGGTACATCATCGACACTGATTATTCTCTGGATTTGACGTTTGTAATCTTCTTTCATACTGAAGGCGAACAACAACTGGCTTTTGACAAAAGGAATGCGGTGATGTGGAGTAATGTCCACACATTGTAGCTGCACCGGAGAAGAAGGTTGTCATTCTTTATGTTTATATGAAATGTTACAATGTATATATCTATGTGGTGGGTTAGGCGTCCGCCCGGAGAGCTGAAGGTCAGTGGTTCGATCCCCCTGGCCAGGTAATATCAACACATGCTAAAACACGCTACTTGCTGTTACCCTGTATGGCGCTCGGGATAAGGAGTATAAAACAATGGATGGTCTTTTCGGAGCAAGTATACTGTGTCTGAATGAGGTATCCATGCAACATTTGGACACGGTATCTCAGTGAACCAGTACTATAATATAAAGCGTCAACGCCAGTGAATGACCAGTCATATTTATTCGACGAATCACACGTAATAGGCAATATAGCGGCGAACATTACATTAAGGGATGACTGAAAACCAGTGATTACACAAGGATGTTCTTGAAAAGGGTAAGCAATGTCCTGTCCTACCTATAGGGTCCGCCACTCACATAAGTTGTATAAAAAGTATGTGTTTGTAACATGCCACCGCACAGCAGTACTCCTGACATGCGACGGCGGCCTGTAAACAAACCTGACAATCCAGCGATGGACCAGAAATCCAGTCACACGATAGCGCATTTTCTAATTTTGTTGAAAGTAATAATGATATGTTAATTTTGAATTACGTCTGCTGTGTACAAGAACAGAGATTCTGCTGCTTTCGAGTTAAAAACGTTTAAGAACATGTTCTTCTGCAACACAGTGCGGACAGTTTTAATGTCCGGGCAAGTACATACAAACACACACATGTATATGCCCATCGCAATGTATAATAATGTGGAACAATATTCAACACAATTTATCCCCACTTCGACCAACCGATACAGTGTGTTCTACTATTTCTCTTGTTTTAAAGAATTACAGATGGGTTCAGTAATCACTCCTACAACAGCTGGTATAATCGGCTTAGCTGCTGGAATATGTATCATGCTGATTCTGGGAGTTGGACTGCACGTGTGCCTTGTGAGACAAGAGAGGTAAGTGACTTTCTGAAACACCATTGATATTACACTTTTTATCAATTAATGGTGTATCGCCTTCTGTAGACCAACACTTTTATACATTATGCTTGTCAGGTTTCAGTGGATAAACGCTTCTCAGAAGGATGTGGTGAAAGTCGTGGACACACAAGAGCCAGTGGACAGGAACACTGCACAGCAATCAGACAACTACACATCTCTATCCGAGCAGGCTGGTGGTCCCAACATCTACAACAATGACTATGATGCAGTGGATGTCGAGGCTAAGGAGAACAGTGACTACGACGTCATTAAGAACAAGGCTTAAAACGATTTGTAGAGCGTAGGTTGTAGTGAAAGATCACCTTACCACCAAAACACAGTTTCAACGCATGGGAGCGACCGTACCCCATTCATGACAACAATGTGTTAAACCCATTTGTGTTTCAAATTTTAGTTACAATCGTTAGACTGGAAAAGTAAAACGCATTCACTCGCTTACTGTTCTCCCTAGGTACATGTGCTACTTTTCATGCCCAGTTGATTGGGTTTTATTATCATGCGTATATTCAATATACTGTGATTTTTAGGGGCATTTGACACGTGAGCTTATGTCATGGTCAAATGACCCGTCATGCTTCGTTTTCGTCGTTAGTGTTATCGGCACTGTAGGTTTCTGCATACTAGTATATGTTTCACTGCTATTTTGTAAATATTCACTTTGGCCTTGGCTTGCTAATGTGAGCATTCCTTAACTCGTAACACGTAACATTATTTGGGATCGGGGAATCACGGTCATCCTAAAAGTTCTTGGGAATTTGTGTACTTTCAGGTGTGTGCTCCTGAGACTTGCTTCTAACAATAGTCTAATGGATAAGATCAACGTCACTACTGAGGTCATAGCAGGGTCGAAATAATAAAAGATATATGTGGGTCCTTTGGATGCACTGACTCCGTGACTAGATACTGTCATGCAGTATTATACGTTACATTAAGCATTACAGAAAGAGTACTTGTTTCATACTTGCCCATTGGTCATTACAGAAAGGAAATGCTCACGTCAACTCGTGTTCAGTATTTCTCTTTGTTGAGACAGTATATTCTTTTGCCTGCATGAGAATTTGAAAGCAGAGCTAGATTCGCTTTCAAAACGTTTTATGGCATACATGTGGAGACTATTTTTTAATTCTAAAGGATTATATCCTTTGCAATTCCATCTTTTGACTTGTACCATATGCTTTGGGGAACAATTGACTTTTTTTGTATTTTTTTGTGACGGGTGTAACGGGAGCGAACACCTGGTATCGTCACTTGTGTTATAGTAATTCATCAACACATGCTCATTATATAGTCCAAAGCGTACAGTCGACTCTGCTTTTAGAAGAGATGTTTTATGGTTGTGGAAAGGGTTTCGTCCGTTTTAATTCAGTTCTCAAGACGTACGTCTGTCTGCAGTTTTCCTTGGCTATGCCCTTCTAGCACAGGGTTAAGCCGTCTACTCAGTAAGTAATTTTCACATTATATTGCAGCAGCTTTGCATATGCTATCAACTATTCTTGTAAACCTGTGCACTGGCAAACATGTATGTAATACCAGCTATATTGACATCGTAATTGATATTTGTTTTCGTTTGAATAAAATTCTTGAATTGTACCCTTTCTGGCCTGTTTTCTGTCGTAGTAAACTCATCCTTTCCATCAGTAATTAGTTTGAACTTATTTTGTGTGTTTATTTGTAATAGATGCAATATATAGTTTTATGCAGAAGAATGGTATTATCACTATTTTATGTCGATTGACAAACTGTTTTTAGCAGATATTTCTTATGATTATAGGTATCGACCCTTTTATTTCAAATGTGATCTACTTATTCAGTACGGTTCGAGAAAACGTGTCCAGTATACGAATTGATGTTATACTGCGCAGCTTACTGTGATCACACACCACTCTGAAGGAAGTTGAAATAGGCCGACAGACAACCATCTGTGTAAATTGACAAGGACTATGGAATCAAGGTCTGGGCATATGCCCAGACCTTGGTTCCATAGTCCTTGTCAATTTACACAGTTGCATCTCCAAGAGTGATGTCATCAGCCTTTCTCTCTAGTTCTAGTTTAACAACTGTGTATTCAACATTGCACCTGGCGTCAATAAGCAGTAGAACTCAAATGACCTGGTCTTGACCTGGATCTCGTTCCAGTTAACCTTTCCCTGTTGTCTGAAAATGGAGTTAAGCTTGACATTGAACTGACTGACATTTGTTTTGTCGCTTGTCTTGCATTATTGTGCCGAATGATGTCACTCATTTCGTACCGGGTGTCTACAGCTTTTTGTGTGATGTTATTATTGTTGACGTATTCATATAGAAGAATTGATTGTTGATATTGCTGCAACATTGCTAGCGTAAAACCGTACTCTCACTCACACTTTGTTAACAATTGACTTAGGGGTAGGGGTGTGTGTGTGTGTGTTTTGACTGCGGGAGTGGATGGCTGAGTGTGTGAGGGAATGGCTAAATGTTTTAGTGGATGGTTGAGAGGGTGTGTGAATGGTTGAGTGGGTGAGTGGATGGCTTAGTGAACGAGTGGATGGTTGAGTAAGTGGTTGAGTGAGTGGATGTTGAATGGTTGAGTGAGTGAATGAATGAATTGTAAACTGAGTGGTTGAGTGAGTGGATGGTTGAATGACTGGTTGAGTGGGAGTGTTGCAGTACTATCGACGCACATAACACGGGTATTGTGCCAAAAACACATACAAAGGACGCAGCTCCCCTCAAATACGTCTCAAACGACTGAGACACTTGTAAACTAACCGTTGACGAATCCCACTTTAACCTATGATGTCTCGTAAGAATAAGCAAACGGAAACATTTGAAAGACTGACTATAGATTAAAGTGGACGTCATTTGCTCTGGTAATTCGAACCTACACTCTCAGAGTGTAGCACCCAATCAACCAGCACAATGAAAAAGGCGATCTAACTCACCGGGGTTCTCATTAAGGGGACGTGCGACAGGTGACAGTCTATATTCACGTACTTTGTGGGATTTGAACCCACACTCTCACAGGGAGGCATGTAATCGCCAACACACTACCACTCGTAGGACTTCCATTTTGTGGAAACTTCAGTGGCTGAGTGAGTTGCTAACTTTGTGTGCAGGCTGTACGAGGGACTAATATTACCCATAATAATAGCACACTCATTGAGCTGTGATCTACTGTGGTGGGTCCGTCGTGTTGCACAGTGTGACAATGAGACATAAAACCAAAACTGTGTGAAGGAATGCAGTGACAGACAGTGTGATGGAACCTCGACCTGCCGTTGGATGTAACAAGTGATGGAGAACACCGGACTGCTCGGTTAAGTGACTGGAAGTAACTCAAATTACACGCGAAGTAACTCGACTCCAAACTGTCATTGTGATGAGGTAAGGGAAGCTTGAGTACTTCAGCCTTGTGCTGTGTTTAGGTGCATTAAGTTTGTCTTCAGAATGTCAATGTGTTTATGTTTGCCTTGGTCTAATGAGGGAGTCTGCGGCCGATATAGGGCATTGGATTGACTGAGGTGTATTGTACCTATCACAATGTTATTTATCTAGTGTCTGTTTCTTATCATTTCATTCCAGTTTTCTAGAGTCCAAGGACATGCAATGTAAAATTTTAGCTCACTCACTGTTTAAGGATAGGGCAGTTTTGTTAATGTAATATCCAAAACGTTTTATTATTCTCCGAGCCCACCAGTTGTTGTTTTAATCCCTCAATGGGCAGGATGACAACACTGCCATCTTTTTAACTTATTTTGGTGTGAAGCGGCCGGGGATCGTCCGGGCGGACGCTCTGCCACTAGACCACGGAGGCGGTCATTTTCACTGTCAACAATCTGTACAATACGTGATCCACCGACCGAATCATTATGTGTAGGTTAAATAGTTAATATTTATTAGTTAATCATGGAGGGCATTTTAGTTGTTACATTCTAGTTTATTCCGAATGTGACATCTACAAGGACGTCTTTCGCAAACCCACATACACGTAAGGCATTTCTAAATACTGGTCTTACTTTAAAAAACGTTACTAAATAATCTGTTGCGGTCCCTAGATTATAAGTACTTTAAGCATTTGCAGCAATATTTCCTCAGCGAAAAACTCGACGAACAACGATAACTGTACTGTCAAGTTCGGTACCATGACCACATCCTGGTCATGTCCGTCATGTAAAAATGCTTGGACATTCTATTTGCAGAACATTACGACGTCATGAAAGCAGTATGTACTTTAAAACTGAACGTTGAAGGGTTGCTTCATTTTCTCTTACAGTGACAGTTTGAATAATCCTCAAAAGATATCTGCGAAAAGTTATTTTATTGTTCTTATGTTATATGGCGGTGTATTTTATTGTTCAGCAATAATTCAAGGTATGTTGCATTGTTTCTGTTCAGATTCTGAAGACGCTCATGGCATTTATGTTTGGACTGTGATCAGGAGGTTTCTATATTTAGATGTCAGTGTGGTGTGTAAACTTCCGGTTCGGATTACCGAACGGTGTTACAGAAATATATATAATATTCTATGTAATGAGGGCACTGTCTGGAACGTTGAAGTGGTCGGGTAGGTTGTATATAAGGGGACAAGAGCGTGTTTACGTATCTCTTACACATTTCGACCCTGAAGCATTTTCATCACTTTGGAATGCATATCGATGTCTATATGACAAGGCGTATGACCACGTAGCCGTATCACACAACATAAGCAATAAGTAATTTAGAGTAATCTCTCTTGGTTACTTTCTAGTATATGATAAAAACTCATAGTCACTTATAGTCGAGCGCTGATATAAGAATCGCGAGAAGGCATGTGAATCTCAGGCTAACACGGCACAGCCGGGCTGAGATAGGAGTTTCGGGTTGATATGGGAGGTTCTGGCCGCTATGCGTGTCTTGGGCTGATATGGGAGTCCTGGGCTGATGTAGTAGTCTTGGACTTATACGGGAGTTTTGCACTGATGCAAGAGTGTTGGACTTATATGGGAGTCTTGGTCTGATATAATTATGAGTGTTAGACTGACATGGCAGTCTCGAGCTGATATGGGAATCTAGGGTTCATATAGGGGTGTTGGACTGACATAAGTGTCTTGTACTGATATGGACGTATTGGATTGATACAAAAGTCTTGCACTTATATGGGGCATAGTATGAAAAGTGACAGTTATTAACCTCTTAATATCATTTCATTTTACTTGAAATTAACCATTGTAGATTTCTAGTCATGATTTCAATAAAAATGCATGTTTCATTGTCATTATTCACTTTAGGGTATGCAAAAAGGTACGTATGTATTCGTCACAATCATATGAATTGAAGATACCCTTTTAGCATAATTTCTAAATACAGCATGTGTTGTTTTGCATCGAAAGTGATCTTCCTGGCAAGTCTTTTCAAAATAACCCAACACAATGTAGATCTCAAGTAGCAATTGTGTACTTGGCTTCCTGGTCTAACACACACTACATCGCAGCCTACTGATGTAGCATAACTTCCTTGTCGACCTCGAACGAACTTATCATGTGGCGGCAGTAGTGTGTGTGCGAGCGTGCGTGCGTGCGTGCGTGCGTCGGTTGGGAGTTGAATCTCCGTTATTTGAAATATGAATCGCACAAAACGTTTTAGGGAAGAAGAGTTTATCTATAAATCGTCCAGAAGGTTTTGGAGTTTCAGTAAGATCTTTACTCGAAATTGGACATGTATGAACTGTGTTTTCAAGTTTTATTACATCAACTACCCTCTTAATAGCCGTAGTGGCTCTGGTGTATACAGTGTACAGCTTCCTACACAACAAACAAGCAATGTTATTGGTGTAATTACACTGTGAGTGAGATGTTTACGCCACCTCCAACAAGAATCAAGGCTTTGAGATGTGTTTGTGTGCATTGTTTTCAATGCGTAAGGCTACTATGATAGCATACCAATTTGCTGTGCCTAAAACTATGTGAACCCTTGTTCATTTCAATCAGTATATATCACGGCGGCCTTTAAATTATCAAATCCGGTCAAAGGAAAACCAATGGTTTATACCCTGAGCAACGATCAACGTGGATGGTCCTGACAACTCTCTGTCAGTCAGGTGACCAATCAATCCTCATCTTTCACCAAATTAGACAGTCAGGAATCAAACTTGTTAGGTTATCTCATTGTCTCATTTTAAAACATACTGATTATTATTCTTCAGATGTAAAGGGGATTGATTAAATACACGTTTAGGACCCATCCAAA